TATTCCATACCTTTATTATTTGAAACAATATTTTTATACTGAAGAGTTACAAGAAAATATAAAATTAATATGTAATATGATACATGGTGTGTCTGCTTTTCGTCCCAAGCTGGACATCTTTGAAAAAGGTATTACAAGACAAGAATTTAATCATTTTCCGACAATTTTCGAATATAAAATAACTCTGAAGAAAACATTGCAGTGTTTGTAAAAAGTCAGGGCAATCTTAAGAACGAATTTGCTACAAGATTCCAAGACTTCGCCATTTGGAGTTGAAGTAACGGCAGAATGGACAGATGTGGCTACCAAGTTGTTTAATCTATCAAAGCCCTCACTTCAAATAGACATAATTGATTCGCAAGATGATGTGTCTTTGCAAATGTGTAAAACGGTATCCACTGAAGAACTTTGAATCAAAAATGTCCCAGAAAAATATGGAAATTGCAAGAAATACTATGTTTGGCTATATGAAACATCTTTCTCGAAGATGATTTTTTGAAAAACAAACGGACGCCCACCTAAAAGACACACTTCGAATTTGCCGTTCCACTCAAGAACCAAACTATAAAAAAACTGGCTCAAGATCGTCGGTATAGTTTCTCACATTAATTTTAGTCCTTGTTTTATAATTAAGAATTTGATTTGAAATCGATATAATACATAGGTAGCACTTGATTATCATCAGTTGTTTTCTCTGGACCTCGTTAAAATTTTTCTACAGCATCCGGACCCCACCTAAAATTACTTGCTGACACCTGATTTGGAGGGACGTCTGATGAATTCAATAACTATATTGTCTATGAAACAATAACCTAGTTAAGAGCATGCCAGAATCCGGAAAAAATGGTGCAGACATCTGTTCACCTGGTATCCGACATATTCCAAAAGAACTGAAATTCGTCAGTTAGGTTTTAATTATTTCAGACGTTATTTAGGAAGATAAAAAAAACAAAAACAATAATTCCCACTTTTCAAGCTGTACAAGATGGCGTTTACAAATTTTTGTTCCGACATTTCGTTTTCGATAATAATATCTTAATTGTGACAATATTTGCCAGTACATCAACAACCAATGAAAATATTGAGAAAGTGAAGAAAATGTTATGTGTGGCAGCGAAGTTCGTTTTAAATTTGATGAATTGTAAACAAAAAACCGCCGTATGAACATCGCTCATTAATTGTTGAATGAAGCCAAAGGCTATCCAGATTTTCTATGCGCCGCCTGCGAGAAGCAATACGAAAAAATACGTCAGATATTGTGGAAAAACAATTCATAGTGTTTGCGTTAATGATAATGCGATAATGAACCTGCTCACTCGTCATAGACTGTTCTTAATTTTATGACCAAAACACCGTGACCATGCCTCAGCCACCAGATTTGGCCCCCTGCGACTTTTTTCTGTTCCCAAGATTGAAGAGACCCGTGAAAGAACGGAGTTTTGCGACGGTTGAGAAGAAACATGAAAATTCACCTTATTTTTTTTAACAGACTGCATAATATTTATATATACATATTGTATTCAGATTTAGCTGTGTCAAAATGATAATTCAAGATTGAAACATCTAGTCACACAATGATTATGTATTATTGAATTTATTGGTTTATGCAGTCGTAATTTTTATCACCTCATCATTTTCAAATTGCAGTATTGTAATTCAAAGTAGTGTAATTCTCTACGGCTACGGGTTGCACTTCTATTAGTTGTTTCTTTCGGATAATATCCTCAATTTCAAAATAGAAAGTCAAACGGAACAGAAAAAATGTACCTACTTTATCAATTGTTTGAACTGGGCACCATTAACTAGCTCACAAATATATAAATGAGAAAGAAAGTTTTTGGCTTTCTACTAATCCTACTTGATACAAAAGAAGGATGAGGGAATCTTCCAAAGAAAGGAAAAAAATAATCAATTTGAAAATAAGTAACTCTATACATGGATGTGTAAATCATGCAAAGAAGTAACTTTCAGACACAAACTGAAAGAAAGTCCTCCTGAAACAGCTCCTTTCTTAAAAACATTGAATTACAAGATAGAAAAAAATTATTTCGAAACAAATACTTCTATATGAACACTGAATTATACAGAAGATACTTTTCTCTACTCAGTTAGTATTTCAAACATTCCTTGTGGAATAAAAATCAGATATCATTCACATGAGTTCTACTTTAAATGAATGGTAACAAATTGCACTTACATGGAACACTGTCATCCTCACTGGTATACATCGATGTTTTGCCTTGAGACACTTGCCCTAAGGCTCTTCAGTACCAAATTGAATAACATTATAGAAAATTCACACAATTCATTCATGAATTACGGTTTTTAATGTCACGGAATAAGCTTGATCTGCTTACGTCATCGATGACATCGTAATGACATTCATTCACCTATTTGATTCAATCCCAGCCAAGGGGAATCTTATTTGAATTGAAGGGGTTATATCTTTCCCAAAAATAATCACTTCTAAAAATATAACCCCTTCAATTCATATAAATGAGCTTCCGTTTCCTCCCTTGCATTCTGAATATTAGGCACCTGGTGATTTTTTTCCTGTGAATTATCTACAGTAGTTGACTGCGTCTCATAGACTTTTCATTTCCACCATCTTCATAGAAAAACATCCAGTGGAGCCAAATCAGTGAATCTGGGTAGCCATTCTGTAGAACCTATCCATCCAATCCATCAACCCTGAAACTTATCCAGAGATACTATGCACTGAGGAGCCCCATCTAGTTGAAAAACTACCCAATTTTGCAATAGAGGATACAACTGAATGGCGTTGTTAATTCTTAATATAAAATTAAAATATCCCACTTCAATTAGGTGTAAGTATATCCTTTTCGAATTGTTGTAGAAGTTCAATCACCTTTTTGTAAACAATGTTAATCTTCTTTTTCTGGTTCACCAACTGTAATTTACAAAAAACTACAGCTATCGGACGGAGTCATGGCCGGTGGGAGAAATCGTGTATGACAAGGAAAGTATTAAGAAGAAAGCAATAGAAACTTGTTTGCAACCTGAATGTTCAAGGTTCGAATAATCCAACAGACTGATAACAGATTTCTACACATTTACTACACATTTTGAGGGAGGGGTTTCTCACTGGCCATGACTCAGTCCGGCAGCTGTACTAACGAATTCTTCAATACAAATATATTTTTGTATAAAAAACTCCACAAAGAAAACAAATCAATAAAACATTATCATGTATGAAACCTTCATATGAGAGAAAGATTGTTAACTAAGAACAGCTCCATCTCGTGAACATTGCTCTAAGCAGGAAAGAAACATCCCATGTATCAATACTCTCACAGAAATCAAAATAAATTTGAAGACTATCGAGGAGAAATGCATACATATAAAAAAATTAATATTTCAAAACATTCATCTCTCTCAACATACCTGCACAATAGGTTTTGGTACATGCCTGCCTGAAAACAACTACATACAGCTTGTCTAAACTAGAAAGAGACTTGATAATTCTATCTTTCTCTCAGTCTCCTAAAGAATGCACATATTAGGGAAGATCCTAAGCCAAGACTTTGAAGTCGCTTCCTAAATTTGACAAGCTGTACTTTCCCGGCTTATACTACGTTGGACATTGAATTATATCTGAGACATTTATGCAAGTAACCTCACAAAGGTTAGTCTTTCAGATGTTTCTTTGTTCAACCAGTAGCAGAACCATGCTGAAATCAGTCGAGTAGATCACCTTCAGACCGGTTTTGAGGTATTACCTCTCACCACTAAAGAAAAGATGCAAGAACATCTGCAAGACTAACCTCTGTGAGGTACCTCACATAAATGTCTGTTGGATATAAGTCAATGTCCAGTGTGCTATTAGTCGGGGAAGTAGTTATAAGTATTGACACACCTGAAGTATGAGTATAGACGCGTCTGAAGAAGCTGCGCATATTAAAGTGTTTCTTGAATACACATCAGTGCGTAAGGGCCGCCGTAAACGCTCCAAGATATGTACTGAATAGGTACATATTCCAGGATCTAGACCTGAACATACACTATGTGGACGCATACATGAGGAAATACGCAGAGGACACGTTTGACAGAATTCGAGCGCACAACCCAGTTCTAAGCAACCTACATAACGCACTAATCAGGGATGACCCCAAATTCCGAGAGAGGGACAAACACAGGAGGCCAACGAAGCAGAACCAAAGACCATCCCCGAGAGTCGCAGTCAGGCGGCTACGGTAAGTATAGAAATTTCTCAACCAGACTTTAAATTAATCTTTTTCAGATTCACTGAGAATCATCACTTGCTCGCGACTAACAGATCAGAAAATAAAAGCACTTAAAGGCTGACTTTCAACCAAAGAGGGTCAGATGTCAATCTTGCTGAAGTACCCACATTAACAGTGTGGGGAAGATTACAACTCAGGGCACTCAACCCGGGAGGGGGCATAGGGGGGAAATACACATCAATGATTTCGGATAGAAAATCGCGAGAAATTTTCTCATGAAAATTTTTTGTTAACTTTAACACACATATAAAAGTAAACAATAGGCTGTTTGCATACCACAAACCACATCTTGCTATTTCCACATTAAAGCATTAAAAAAAAATGTAGTGTCATGTAGCGATCTCAACAATTTTAGACCATCATTTCATTTTATGGTTATTCTCCAATTTTACATTCTACATTTTTCTGTTCTCCGAAATCCGACACGTGCTGTGTTCAGTGTTCGTTTTGCAAAGTGAGGCCTATAACAGATTCTTGTCTAATGAATTTAATTACAGCGTCCCCCTCGCAAAGAAGTCACCAGCTCATTTATCTTCAGACAGGAATCCAGAATAGAGAAGGTATTAGAATGCCAATATAAATAGTCACTTTAGATTGTTACCTATTTTTCATCTGTGGTAATTCTGTCCCAGTAAAATATATCTTACATTATTGCTCAAAATAGATCAGCATGTATAATGCATACAAGTACAAATGTGAACTAAAAAAAGGTTGCAAAATAACACCTCCGAAATCTACATTCTAAAATTTATTATTACAATTATCAACTAAATAGTACTCACTAGAAGAATAGTCCATATTCTCTTAGAATTTAGTAAAAAAGTAACTTTACGAAAGCAGTTGGGAGTAATGTTTTTGCCAATATGATACGTTTATACATTACTAAATAATAAATATACTTATCACATCCAAAGAAAAATAATAGTTTTTCACTAGCAATCTACCAAAAAATCAATAATTGCACTAAAAAGAGCATAGTCAGAAAAAAGATGGGGCCATTTGAATTTTCTCAATTGAAATTTGATGATGATCTAATCAACTCAAAAAATTTAAATGCTATAAATTAGGTTATAAGGCAGACATTTTTGTTTTTTCGTGTAAAACAAATTTGGGCTTTTACAAAGTGTAATTCAAGTACAGGAATTATAAAAAATATTTGAAATATAAATTACAAACAACTAATAAGAACTTTTCGTACTTTAATTATTATTGCATTGTTCTCAAGTTGGTAACTTGAGTTGGAAGTCTTCCAATAATGGATTCATTGAATAAAAATAAGTTAATTTTGAATTATGCCATATGGCGTTTTTAAAAGGTACTACTTATTAGTCGATAACATAATCAGTCAATGAAAAAAGTAGCAAACCAAAGGGGGAAAAAATTAACATAGATACATATGTGGTATAGAAGGACCATTCATAAACAAACAATTGTGTTTGAAAAATCTGTTTTTCCGTTAATCAGCTGTCACCCCTATACGAACGATAACTCTCAGAAGTTGAAAAACTTGTGCGAGCTAATGACTAACGAGGTCTAACCTTTTATCGTGTGATTCCTAACTCGGTTGAAAAATTAAATTACATACTACTCTTGCGAGTTCATGTGGAAAATGAACTAATTAATATATTATTTTGTTTTGTCTCTGAAAAGAAAAAACAAGTTAGCAGAATTTTGTGAAGTTCAGCATTCTGACTTAAGATTAGTAATGAAGGTTCAAATGAGTGTGACTAAATGTTTCGACAATTTTTGATTTTTTGATTGATTGCATTTTTTCCAGTGTACCCCACTATATCTATAGAAATCCCTGCTTCAAAAATACACATAGTGTTTCCAAATAGGCAAAACCTTCATTGTTGAATCATTACATAAAAGAATGTGAAGCGTCAAGATGTATCAAGTATTTCTAGTTCAGAAACATCCTGTATCAAATATTTGTTTCAATTTCCAAGTGTTTCCAGATACCTGCAATTATAATAACAATGGTAACTCTTTCAAGTACCAACTCAAGACTACAACAAGTTTTCAAGGAGTATATTTTTACAGCAAATTTTATTTAACCTACTTACAACTAAACCAGGTAGTACAAACAAACTTAGGGTATATATGAACATTGAAGATGGGACAAAAATGATAATGGGTCCATGAAAAAATAATTGCCATTCTTGGCAAAGGGGAGTGACACGAGTGGAAGTAATAAGATGTAAAGGAATCACGTAGCATATCGCTTGGTCCACAATCGTGCAATACGATCGTGTTCTTCACGGTTCTGCAGGTATTGGGTGGCTATGCTTCCAACCAGTGGATCGGCTATAAAATAAAAAAATATATATGATAACATAACTTGTGTGTGTTTACATATTATTAATTATATTTGTTGAGTACTCGGTTATCTGAATTGAGTCAACTATTGACTTAATTATATAATCATTCATATGGGTATATAAAAAGAGAATAAACTAGGAACATTGCAGATTCCTAAGTAGCACCATCACTAAAGAAAATCAGAGTTTTATTTATTGTTAACCAATTTGATGATGCAAAGTATTATCATCGATTGCCAGCAAGATTTTATTGATTCCGAAGCAATACTTCATACAGTACAGGGACGATTAAATACACAATAATAAGGTGCTGACTAATTTTATAATTTTGACAAAAATCGCAACTTAGGCTTTCAAGTGACAATTAGCGATCCACCCCGGCACCGCACAGGTGCAATGCTGATACTAAATATTTGCGTGTGACTGCTGCTAATCATAAAGTGCTATAAGGCGAAGCGCGGTCTTCGACGCGCTATTTATAGGCACACGCCGCTGGCCCCCCAGCCGGTACCGCCGTAACCGCTATGTCCTTGTATTTTAAATCTGTAATATCTTCAAAAACATTCATTAAAATTGCATGCTGTAGAAGACCATATTGACCTATATTGAATACACGATTTATTTAAGGCACTTAATTGAATAAGGATTGATTCTGTATTGCTTAAAATCTCTTCGTAAATAAGCTATTAATTATCGAGGATACAAAATTATTATTGTGGGTTATCCCTAGATAGACATATACCATCGATGACTTTTTTGTAGATCTTCATAAGATGTACACAAGTGTAGTAAATTTTTTTGAGCTATCTCGTAGGGTTCAGCCAGCGTTTGCAATGTAGGCGCAAAAAAATGTATTTATTTACGATATCACATTAGAAACCTCTAAAATTATTAGTGTTTCTCTACTATATTATGCATGTTATATACATAAAAACTTTCCTCTTGAATCACTTTATCTATTAAAAAAACTGCATCGAAATAAGTAGAGTAATTTTAAAGATCTAAGCATACATAGGGACAGACAGCGGAAATCGACTTTGTTTTATACTATGTAGTGATAATTCATCAATGACATAGTTCCAGAAAAATTGAATTTGAATGAATCTATAAAATGAATAATGAAAACGTATCAATTACGTTATCCATTGTTGATATGATTTCCGTGACAGTATTAACAAAAACATTAACTGAATAATAAAGACGCTACTAGAGGTTATTCTTTAATCTTTGCATTACTGAAGTCTAATTTCTTTTGAGTTGACAATAGTCACAGATTACTTTGACATATTTCAAGCATCTTTATAAGTATCATGTCTCAACTAAATTTCCATATTTGGATTGTTTTTTAATGAGAAAAGTAAATTTTCTGTGGTAGCAGAAAATTCCAAAAAAATAATCGCATAAGTTTCGAATAATTTTGAATGAATCATACCATTTCTCTTTCTACAAATATTGTTCAAAATTATTCATATCATAAATGTAAAATTAAAGTTTTAGTTCTTGCTGTTTATCACACAATAAACAACAGTGTAATATTGCTGAAGAATTATCTATTATGGAGTAGAATTAGTAACAATAGTGTGGACTACCTGACCAAGAAAAAATGATAGCCAACTCATTATCTTAACAGTTTATTGCATGAGTCACAAACTCTGCCTCTGCAGGAGTCACGAAACTCATATGAATAAAGAAGTTGATAACACTATAATTATCACCAACATTCTTCCAAAACATCTATACGAATGGAACAATGTTGCAATTAGATTCTACATATATACAATACTATGAAAATGTTAAATAATTGTTTGAAGTTTTGTACTCATACTTTATAATATAAAACTGGGTTTCCCTGAAAATATCACTTTTTCAGTTGTGCCTTTTCTATTCTGGATGTTCGGTATGTATGTATGTATGTATGTATGTATGTATGTACATATGTATGTACGTACGTAGGTATGTAAGTAAGTACTTTATTTAACCACTTTATATACAGTTGCATATTTGTAGCAAGTCACAAAAGTTTGTTCATTGGATATGGATATGTATGTATATGTATCAGGTAGGTATGGTAGGTATGTATGTATATGTATGAAACAATTTGTGGACACATCACTCCAAAAAAGGAAGAAACCGCGGACACGTGTTTCTGGGCTATTGGCCTCATCAGCGCGGTGCAGCCAAGTGTGAAGATGGGCAACACTTGTTTGCCGAAAGCAGGAAACAACACATACGCACGGAGTCAACAACAGGAGCCAACCGCACATTTTTGGTTCCAGTTAGAAGACCTAAAATTCCCAGGCTACATCTAACATGTCATTAAGCATTAAACTCAAACATATTCTGACAGAAAAAAATATTTTATGGTATAGAAGAGTTTCTCAACTTTAAAAATGTATTTTTGTTTCTCAACTTTTAAAATGTGTTTAGTTTTTTTCAATATTAATTCTTTAAATTTTGACTTACTAATATCAATTCTTAAAATTTCGACCAACTAATTTCAATTATAACTTTAATTTCACTTGTATTTTAACTGTATGTTAATTATCTAATTTCAACTATAACTTTAATTTCACTTGTATTTTAACTGTATGTTAATTATCTAAAATGCATATTTACATCCCATTTTTCTGACTAGTCCGATAAAGATGCATCTGTCTTTGATCTTTGTTGATTGAATATTTATGTATTTTTTTGTGAAGAATAAATTGATGTTGATATTGATTTTTGGGAATACCCTAGAATTTTCTTTATGAATACATTTCCATTTAGAAAAATGCACTGAAATCTCCATCAGATAACTCTGAATAAAAAAAAAAAAGATTTTTGATTTAATCAGGAGAATTTAATGTGACAAGCAATTAAAGCTTTGGAAGAGTTAAAAAATGATGCTATAGTGGAAAGTACTCGTCAGGGTATTTTGTATCTGAAAATGTATGAAAGATACTTCTACTATATAAATACATTTTCCCAACACTAATGCAGATATCAACATACATCCTCATTCAACACAAAATAGTATTCTTTTAAATGAACCCTCCAATGCATGGTTCATAGTTGAAACTTGCAAAGATATTAAAGTTCACTTAGAGAGATATCAAAAAGTGATATTCATACACCATAATTTCACTTTTTAGTTTTGACTTCAAGTGAGACGTGTGATTTCTGTTAACTTTGTACATACTTTTTATTATATTAGTCTTCATTTTGTATCAAATGACTTTCACGATTTATTATATTATTTGAAACGGCAAAAAGAGGAAGAACCACACAGTTCCAATTCAGAAGCCGTTTGTGCTACCGCTAATTGGTCATCATATAAAATCGCTAAATTAGTTACTAAGCTCTTTGCCAACATTCGCCGCAGGCATGTGTTCACAATAAGCAACTCCAACACCCTCAGTCTGGGCCCAGAGGAAAGACACACTGGAAAAATTCAAGTTCAGTTTTCTTCTTTTCAAAAATTTCACATTCATCATCACTTTTTTTTTTCATTTTTTCATTTAAAATTATTCATTGTTGGTCCTTTCAAGTCGTGAATATCAGCTGCCCTTTTTTTTTTCATTATGTAATTTATATATACCTACACTCCGCTCTCTTTTATAAAAAGTAACTTAATCTTTATTAAAACCAACATTTTTTTCTCACGGGAAAGAAAAACTTCATATTCTGAATATTTTAACCAGTGACAAAAAATTTATTTTAGACGAATTTGTTTTCGCAACTTCTTGTTATTGTCTTTAAATTAACTGTTACTAACGTTTCTTTTCATTCTGCTTTTCTCAATTTCGCTCAAATGGCAACTCAACTACCAGCTGATATTTGCCAAGATGCCATTTAACAAAACATTTAAAGTTCAAGAAGAATTTCATGATGCGTTTTATACTGTCACAATCTTTTTGGTAGGGGTGAACCCCTACACAATTCCATTCTAATCGGAAACACTATATGTTACTAGTCTTAATTTCTGTGATTGAAATTATGCCGTATAAATTAATAAGTCATAATCAAAGACTATTATGGATAAAAAAACACTACTTTAACTTCAATAGGAACTCAAAATTATTAAATTGTTTCATTCATACACCATTATTGAAGAAAAAGTGCTGTTGACGTAAATTTATACTTGATTTTAACAAGTTTCCTCTCATGATAATATTGACTAGTTATTAAAAGTATTTGAAATAGTATTGGGAGTCCAAATAGGTAGTCACTTGACAGTCACTTAACAAATATATGGACTACACTTTCTTTTAAAAAAATGTATTTCCTGTACTTAGTCCTTTTGTTAAAGAAAAACTGAAAGTGTGGTAAATAAAGTTCCCACTGATATACATTGTTACAGTTTTTTTGAAGTCATAAAAGTGTTATTTAAATAAATACTTTTTACCTCTTACTGGGAGGAATAAAAAGTAACACTGATAAGACATTACTGTTATCAATATGCACATAAACGTGCAGATTCCATTCTCTTATTAGTTGAATATCAAAAACTACCAAAAGTAAAAACTTCTCACCTGGATTGCAGTCAGTCAGCAGGGAACAAATTGACAATAAAACTTTAGAAATTGTTAAAGCTGGAGACCAGTTGTCCTTCAAAATATCTAAACAAATTACTCCTTGGCTATTGATATTGCAGTGGTAAATCCTAGTGCGGAAAGTCACCTTTGGTGGCTTGAAGGGATACTCTGGAGAGAAATGAATGTCGAGGAAAAACACACCTCCTTCATAAACAGATCCAGGTGGACCCAGGATGGTAGAAACCCATTCATAAAAATTTTCCCCTTTAGGCCCAGCACTACAATTTGGTGGTGGATCCAGTGTAATTTCTGCCAGCTCCTTTTGAATCCTTTTTGCTGATGTGCCAAGTGCTTTAGACATTTTGGGGTTTGGTTTACTCTCTTTGGCTTCTTTCTGATCGCCCACAGCCGCTTGTCCCCCTCTGCCTCGGCCCGATCCACTGGAACCAGCGGATGACATTTTCTGTCTGAAGAAAAAACAATTCAAATCCTTTGTCCAAACAAACACTGTGGCTAGCCGTTTAGCTTGTCAAAAATGTAGATATGTAATGAAAAATCAACTACTTGATTCAGTTTCATAGAAATATAAAACTTCTAAGCAGAAATTTTTTAAAATGAGACCCTATTCAAAACTGAAATTGATTCTTGTCACGGGTCGGCCATTTTGGTATCTGACCAGACATAATTTCTATTTTCGACATAAACGACCAAATAACTTCAAAATTGAGCCCCGTTAAAACGATTGAACGAACGCAGAACCAATATAATTGACTGACAAACGAGTATAGGATACAAATATCATATAAAACATTCCTCTCAAGTTTTTTGTTGATTTGTAATGAAATGAAACAAGCATTCAATCAATAAATTAATACAAGCCAGAACCATAGTCAACAGGAATGAAAATGCTGAAATAAACTCACCAGATTATAATCTTTTTATTTTAAATAGAAAACAAATTACACTCCCTTTTCACAAGTTTTGGCTCATGGCGTACTTGCAACTTGCAATGCAACTTGCAGGGAAACCTCTCAAGGATCAGGGCAACCAACGAAACATGCCAAAATAATATGCATGTATTTTTAAGCCGTGACTATGAATCCGCCAAAGGTAAATTAAACCCGCGGATATAATTAGTTATAGGACAGTTGTTTATATAATCAGTAGCAATATATTTCTGCGATTTGGATGAGAACAACGAAAATTGGACATTTGGATTCACCAAAAACTCATTGTATGTTTCATCCTGGGGACAAAATGAAATTTCATTTGTAAAACACTTTTCCCGCGCTAGAACTAGAGTACTGTCTTTCGACGATGTATCGCTAACCAAGTTAGCATCATCAGGAGCCCTGAACTCTTCAATAAACATGGTAGAGATGTTGAGGTCGATCAATGACTTCATTCGCCTGCTAGAAGGTACTACAGGATCTCTGGAAAAATGGAGAGCCTTTGTGAATTTTCTCCAGAACATCAATCATTACAATTTATATAAAAAATTGTATACATGCATGTTTTGGAGAAGCGGCTCAAACGCCTGCCAAAAATCCGATAACCACAATTGGAACAAACGAGAGTTCTAACATCTTTTATGGCAGGCTCCTTTTCCGGCAGTTTTTGTATCAAACCCAAACGTGAGCGAGTGTGAAATTTGATATACCTGAATACCGATCCTATGTTGATTGACACATAAGCCTAAGGCAGGAGGTGTCAGAAAGAAGCACGGCTATTTGAAACTCTGCAGATCGAATGTCGAGTCCTCACTAACAACGCGAGAGATGCTTTCCACTGTCTCTCTTTTCGTTGGGGTCGAGAAGGCGCCTCTTACTCTAGGGTTTCCCCTTCCTTTAACCCTTCACTTCCTTGTAGTGTTATGACATTTTAAATAAAGATAAATGTACATATCAATTTTAAAATAAAGACCTTCCATTTTTTTTTTTCGACTTTTGATCTCGAGACTGGCACGCCAGCATCCTAGGTTCAAATCACACGACTAGTTTTTTTCAAAAAACTCAATTTTTTAACTATTTGCAGTTGAATAAAATAATAAAAATAGAAAATATTATTGTAGATTGCATTGATCATGGGAATTATGGGATCTTGTCGTGCAAATGAACTGCATATCTTGGATCAGCTATACACTAAGCCGAACACCAAAACGAAAGTTGACAGTAACAGAGTATTCTCATCATATTTGTATTAGGTATATCAAGCTGCGACCGAGTAATGTATTAAAAGAATAATTTTTACTAAATTATCAGAAAGGTAAATGCACCAATCAAAGAATTGGAACTGACACCAAGTTAGCTTGCCAAGTTTGTAAGTCGGCGTTGGTGGTTCAACCAATCTTTGAAACCGACAACTGCGTTAGCAGAAATTTGGAAAGCTTTTCTGGAATGCCATCGGAAAATGAATCCACATGTTTCTAGAAATGTTATAAAATCTAGAAAGTGTGATGCAGTCAAGTTGCTGGATAATAATAATTTCATGAAAATCAAAAGATGAAGATGAGTACTATTCTGATGAATTCAAGAGCCACCGGTAGACACCTGGTTCCATCTGTTGGGCATCATCAGTACCGGGCGAAACAGCTTGATTTTACGTAGTTATTTTCATCAAGTATTCTTATCGGTTTTTCACATTTTGTCTTCAATTGAGGGCCGCCTGCCCGATAATTATGATGCCCAACAGACCGAAACAGCTGTCTACCGGTGGCTCTCAAATTGAAATCAAATTAGGAATGATCAGATTAATACTCATCTTCATTTTTTATTTTCATGGAAGTATTTTCCAGCAGCTTGACTGCATTAACCTTTCTTGGAATAAGTGTGTATGTGTTGGTGTGTATATACGTGCGTGCGTGCGTACGCGCGCGAATGTGTGTGTGTGTGTGTGTCAAATTATGGGAACTTTAATGCGTAATGAAAGAGTTAATATGTTTTTCAATTATTGAGAATGTCGAAAAAACTCCTCAGTCACAGTCATCATATACGCTGACCGTTATTCAGGAAGACGTCACCCGACAAGACACTTTTAAAAATTTGAATCGAAATTTCCGGACCAAACTGAGGAAGATGATAAGTTGATTGTCAGTATGGACAAAGAAATTAATGTATTAGCTTATGTTCACTTGAACAGAAGAGCGACCCATCGAGAAATTGCTTTGGAAATGGATTTCAGTCATCAGTATGTGTGGAAAATATTGTATCAGTTGATTAGCATATTGCAGGATGCTCGTATCAATAAGTATAATTACAAAAAAGTACATTTTCGTGATCTTTCATTGTGTGCTACTGTGACTGGCAATATGAGGTAACTTCTAAGGGTTGTGGTCAGACTCGGGGACACAGAAATTGATTCATCAGGATACAAGTTATTGAGCATATCCAACGGCAAGCGGCTCAGAGCATGCTGGATGGGCACGTGATGAGCGCTCGCACCGGGATGTTCGCATCCACGTCGTTTTTATATGGGAAGGCGCCTGCATCATGCAGAGCGTTACTGTGAGGCTCTATGTCAAGCGAGCGGTTCTTGGCGTCCCCTAACAACCGGCGACCGGGTGAAGTGCACCCCCTGTACTATAGGTAAAGTCGCCTCTGTTTATTCAGACAAATCTCATTTATGAACAATGGCATGTTCAATAGGAACCATATTTGCTATTGAGTAGGTACAATAAAATGCTCATCTTCAAGAACAACATGGGTTCAACGTATGGATGTGCATAATATAACAAATATTAATTAGTCCAATTATCTTCGAAGCATCTGAGAGAATCAACCGTTCAACTGTAGATAATGAACCATAATAGTGCAATTGAAAAAAAAAGCCCAATCACAAAATTGTGATATCTGTCAGAAAAGTGTTAAGTATGTAGTTGAAAAAGCAAAAGTACTCTTTTGATTTCCACATAGATTATGAGAGCAGAGCAAATATTTTCATTAGTGAAATAAGCCTCCTAGACAGTTTTTCCTAGACACAGTTTTTTCGTAAAAAAACACGGTATTTTTTCAACAAAATAGGACGCTTGTATGTTAAATAAACTGCTGAATGAAAAATGTATGATAATACAGTGTGTTCCTTTTGGAATTTCAGAGTTGGTATAATTTCCTGTAAAACTGAAAATGCTACAATAATATTTATGATCCAATCAATCCAAATTGTGATACCACTTGAATCACCAAAATTTCATATTGATACAAGGACTGAAATGAGTCGGTATATGAGTTTTTTAAAAGTACCGATTATGCTCATTGAGCTATATGCGTTTCACTACTGATTTCGCTTTAGAGTAACTGTGAGCTTCAGTGATTGGTAAACAGGTGAAACCAAACTAGCATGGTAGCTGAAAACTTCATCGGAAATTTAGTCTGGTAGTGGAGTAGATAATGGTTAGAAGAATGTCTTTTATATTACTAGAGAGTATACGGGGGGAATTGGTGCCACATCGTCCCTTGGCATTCTGTGTATACGCTGTTAGTCGCCCGGAGCAATGTGGTCCACGCTTAACATAACTCATCGATTTTCAAAAATAACACATATATGCCCGCATACACCGTATGCGTGCGCGCACACCCACTCAAAAATTCGTCAAAAAACTTATTGCCCGTCTAAATACACACCATGCCTTTTCCCGTTATGAAAAAGCGAGAATCATACTTTACGAAGTTTCATTATGTACTCACAACTTTGCATCAAAGTAAATAAAATCCAAACCGTTGTAATTAAATCATATGCTTGGTGAGAAGTGTTGTTTCCAGTTTCCCAAAAACAATAATTAACACCACAAAAGCTTGCGTGTTCAATTCAAGGGCCCCCGGTAGACAACTGTTCCAGCCTATTGAGCATCATCAGTCCCAGGCAAGAAAGGTTGATTTTACGTAAATATTTTTATCAAGTACTCTTCTTGGTTTTTCAGATTCGTCTTCAATTGAGGATCACCCCCCCCTACTATCTACCGGTAGCTTTCAAACTGAAATCAAATTGAGAATGATCAGAATGGTACCTAATCTTTTTTTTTTTTTATTTTCATGGAATTATTTTCCAGCAACTTAACTGCATTAACCTTTTTTGGAATATATGTGAATGTGTGCGTGCGTGCGAGGATCATACCTCCCGAAGTTTCATTATATACTCACAACTCTTCATCAAAGTAAATAAAATCCAAACCGTGGTAATTAAATCATATGCTTAGTAAAAAGTGTTTCCAGTTTCCCAAAAATATTAATTAATACCACAAAAGCTTACATGTTATTGAATGTTCTATTATGAATGAATTAATTTTGCAGAGAAGCTTCCGCTCGATATTCCACAATCACCAATAAAAAGTCAGTTCATATTAGAACGATTGCGATAATATTTTTGCGGTTCCGCAAATTTGCCCCAATTGTCAAAATAATATTACATGAACCTGAATGATGACATATATACGACTCATACGAATTACGACTTTTAAGACCAGACCCCATCATATCAGAAAATAGGACTAACAATTTTCTCAAGTTTTGTTTAATAGGAGCGTGCCTTCAAACCATTTATCTTAACTTGAGTGCAGGAGCGAGGGGTTCTTTTACAAAATGAGTCTTCTTTAATGAAGGGCCAGCCAAATTCAATAATTTATTGAATAATGAGAGACTCAGCCTGAAATAGTTGAAATATTCCTCTGGATCACTAATTCTCATTTCAGCTACAAGGTTGTGAAATTCTCCATATTTTCTCCTATTTTTGAAAATATTTCTCACACTATAAAGACGTTTCTCAATGAAGCTTTATATATACGGTAAAGTTGATATAATTTGAACAACCTGACACATTACACATTCGTCCATTTCGGCTTCAATTTCGTTTTATGGGTTTAAAAAACGAGAGTCAAATAAAATAGCATATAACCTCATTGTATGTTGACGTACAAAATTTTGCGGAAATCGCAAAAAAGTTCAATTTTTTCAACTTTTTTACGATAAACACGACGCCATTTTAAATCGCACTTTTTATGCGATGTTCGTTCCAACATGAACTAGCCTTAAATCTATGAACGAATAAATTAATCCTCAAAGAAGAAATACTCTAAAGAATACTCTAGCTGCTAAAGCCGATAACAAAAACCAAGAGAAGTAGACAGTGGATAGTGGATGTAACATATAACCTCAATTATATGCTATCTGTCATATTGTTACTTTTTTAAATTTTGATTTTGAATATTTTATTGCGAATAGCCCTCATCGATAGTTGTTAGTACTTATTGTGAACTCAAAATCACATTACTTTATAAGAAATAACTGCAAGGAATATCAAACGTTTAATACGGACCAAACGAAACTTCATTCAAATTATTATTTTATCTTTGGATCTCATCTGTAGAGGTTTTTTATTTTGCTCAGACAGAATCTATTTTAAAGAGTTTCAAATCGACCGTTCAAAATGGGAAAAAGACAACATCAAAAGGACAAAATGTATTTAACATATACAGAATGGACAACACTTTATGGAGGAAAAAAAGTTGGTCATACAACCAAAGAGGAGGAAAATTTCAAAAGATTGCCCTTTGATCATTGCTGTTTGTCTCTACAACCATTCGAGATACCTTACTGTGATTTGGAAGGCAATATATTCGATCTAGAAGCTCTCATACCATTTCTTAAAAAATATAAAATAAATCCTGTCACTGGCAAACCATTGGACTTCAGATCATTGTTCCAGTTGAACTTCCACCGTAAATCTGAAGAGATTTTTGAATGCCCCGTGTTATTCAAACCATTTACTAAAAGTTCACATATAGCCGCTATTGCTACAACTGGAAATGTTTTTTTAATGGAAGCTATTGAACAATTGAATATAAAGACCCGTAACTGGAAAGATTTGATTACTGATCAACCTTTTGAGAGGAAGGATATCATTATTTTACAAGATCCTAATAATTTGTCAAAGTTCGATATCTCCAAATTCCATCATGTGAAAAATAATTTGAGAGTTGAAACTGAAGGTAAGAGTTACAGAGTTACATATAATTTTTTTTTTGAGTTATTCCAATGTGTTTAGTAATGTTTTTAAGTTGGTTCAAATATATGTCATGGTCTTCTGCATGTCCAGTGAATAAATAGTGTAGTTAATATTTATGAAAACCTGCATTTTTTTAACAATTCCATTACCATTTCGTTACCATTTCATTACGTTACCATTTTCGTAATTTTTTTTCATGCTTTCTGATTCCTCTTCCTGCTGCTACTTTTCATTTCGTCTCAGTCGATTGAATCTTTGGAATTGAGTAGTGGGGAAATGCAAAATCGAATATTATTTGTTGAAATGTCAATTCTGGCAATTTTATCCTGGGTGTCTCTTTGATATAAGTATTTCTGATTATTCCATGATGCTGGTTAGACACCAAACAATATTACTTAAATTTCAGCCCTGTGCTTGTTTATATACATGTATGAACATATATTTATACAGTTCGACTAGAAACTAATTTATGTGAAGCATATATGGTTTCAATTCAGGAAGATCCTATTACTCTGTAGTCATTAATTTGAAAGTATATAATACAATTGTTTTTTCAGAGGAAATTGCTGAAAAATCTAATCCACAAGCTCGTTTAAAATCTGTGAATCCTGAAACAAAGTACACTTTGGAGGAACTAGACAAACACTATAAAGCTTCCACAATAGAACTGAATAAAACAGAAAGTACTGCCAAAGCTGACAAATTCAATGCTGCCCATTACTCTACTGGGGCTGTTGCTGCTAGTTTCACTTCTACGGCGATGGTACCTAAGCTAGTACATGAAGCAGCTATTGTACATGAAGATGAGGTTAGATATCAAAGAGTGAAGAAGAAAGGTGAGTTAGTTTGTATGTGAAATGTTTTTTTCTGAATTGCATAGAGTGACAAATTGAAGAATTAACTGTCTTAAACAAATTTATTTCCAACAATACTTAACTAATTTATTTACAACACTTAGCAACTAACGCTTAATTTATTTCCACTATTTTAATTTTTTGTTTAGCCGCTCGATTCACTTTCTGAATTGCCCTCTTGGGTCGGGAAGCCAGGCTTATATAATGTAACAGTCCTTTCTAGAAATCTGTAGTCGGTTTGGTACTCGACCAGAGTTTTACCGGCGGTTGCATTCTTTCTCGGTGATGTCATGTGTTTGTTCGCTGAGTCGGCCGGAATATCGGTCAGGGGCGGCTTCAGATTCGTTACAATAGTTTTTGTCCAGAATAAGAACTGAATTGAAAGATTGAAGACAATAAGTGTGAAATTATCGGTTCCTACTGAAAGAAAAGTTACAAAATTGGGGTGAAATAGAATATTGAAGCCTCTGTCATAGAAGTGATCTGAAAAGTTTGTATCTAAAAGTTTAGATCATCTGATGTGAGTTGAGAAAAGAAGTTAAACTTCTGGTGTGTGGCAGTATAGAAGTAGATCTCTTGAGTTAATAATTTTATAACTTTCAATATTTTCTCTTGGGTTTGTGCTAGTTTTGGAAAAATTTTCAATTAGACCTAACATAATTTTATCTGCTGATCACAAACCTGAAGTCGACACTTTGTGCTTTGGTCTACTTTCGCAAATATTGTCACACAAAAGTCAAAAGTAACCCTAAAAAGAAACTTTACATTTTTAAATCTCACACTTAACCTTTGAGAACCTAGAATCCATAAATTCAACTCATTTCTCATTCTTGGGCATAAATCAATGGAACTATTTGGAAAAATGGCTCCATTAGTTCTGGTGACTGGGTCAGTCAGTGTTGAATATAGAACTTTGTTTCAGGCAGGGTCATCTTGTTTCAGTGGGAAACCAAACAATATTTTTCTTTATGTAATACTAGGATTTGAACTGTGATTTTGAATCATCTACTTAAATTAATCATGTTAAATGTGACCAGAAAATGACATTGTTTAAAATTATATAACCTATTCAAAAAACACTTTATTGTGAGATTTACTAAATATTTTTTCAAATGTGAAAACTGGTACATAAGCTAAGGTAATTTAATTCATCACAAACTCAGGTACACATGAAACATTAAATAATGTCCAGGTAAAACACAGGTACTTGAAATGTATGTACTTCAAATTGTAAACATTGAACGCGTAGAATATAGTTAGTAAAGACACGCCTTAAGAAGCCATTGTATGTCGAAACAGCGGTTATGTTTTTGCAAAACTGTTTAGTGAAAATCTCACAATAAAGTGTTTTTTGAATATGTTAGTTATGGATTTTCATCAAGTATCGTCCAATTCCATCATATATCCTTAAATTATATATAAATTTTTTCTGTAATGCAGCTGGAAATTATCTATTTTAACATTTTGGAGGTGCTATTCACCTCTCTTTTCTTGTTTCAAATCTAATGAAATATGTAACTTGAAATTACAATTGGTGGGCTGTCACGATGACAGTCATGGCATACCGGTTCACTGCAGAGGAGACGGGAGTGAGTTTACCTGACTTGAGACATGGATTTCATCCATGTGTTTTAAACAATTCAAATAAATACTTAAAAGCCAAACTGAGTTAATAACTCTCTAAGTTTCATTACTAATTACCTTGAAACTTCTCAATAAAAAAAGGTAAAGCCAGCTAAGTATTTTCAGTTAGCTACTTATATATCAATATAAAATACACAAAGAGCAGGAAGTGAAGCTGCAGGTAAGTCACTTTCAAGAATATTTTACAAGGATTCCGAAGTCATTTGCTGTGGGCCCAGAGCGCAGACGCAGTATCACGAAAAAAAAATTAACTAAATCAAAACCCGACTTGATTTCCCCTTTACATAATTAACAGTAAGTTACTAATCACGATAATATAAAAAATATAGTCAATCGTTTTTTTTTTGTTTCAGGTACTCGCGCGTCTTCTCCGCCCCCAAGTCCAAACAACAATCTTGAATTTACAGAGTCCGCCAAGATGGGTAGTCAAAATGTTCCAGAGTGGTTGTTGATCTGGCGTGAATTCTTACTTCTAGATTAGAAGGGTTTTATTTCCAATAAAATCCGGAGAAATACTGGAGACAAGTATTTTTTTTTTCGGTTTCCACAAAATAGATTTCAGTATTTTTCCAAAATACTGACTCAAGTAGTTCCCAACTCGTAATGGTTCAACAAAATCGTCTATGAACTAATCACACACAGATCGTCGTGAAGTTCTCTGATCCTTGAAAAGCGTGAAAGGGCCACAACCAAACAATAGCAATACTCTATAAGCACGAAACTAACTTGAAAACTTGAAACTCCACTTGAAATGAAGCCTTATGGAAAT